GTTTCATAACGAAAGCAAGATCAATCATAAAATAAATAATTGTTCTCAGGATCTTGAATTCACCTTTTGAAAAGACCCTACTATTGTTTGTTACGAGTGTCCTTGAGTGGGCGAAGGAACCGAATCGAGAACATATGAGAATCATATAAATAGAATCTCAGAAAAGGAGATCTATTTCTACCTTACATCCTAGTCTGCTAATCTATTGATAATTTTCATTTTGATAATATGATTTCTCCTTCTTCTGTGGGCATGATTATACTTGTGTAAATAAACCTTGATTGGATGAATAATGAAATAATTTCAACCTTAATTTTAACTTGATACCAGAACAAATTTGATGAAATCACCGCCCTTCTCTAGCAAGCGACCTTAAACCTCTCGTTTGGTCAAGGATTTTTCTTTTATCTTCAATTTTTCGTATCTCGGTTCTAACTCAAAAAAATTCCATAAATTTTGAAAAGTAGGGCCTCTAATAGCGATGTCAATGAACAGAAACTTGAGGCTTGGGTAAAAATGGTTTGGGCCTTTTTTGGCCTAAACCGAAGCTCGGCTAAAAAATCTAGGCTCAACACGAGTTTTTGGCTTGAGTTGTATCGAGCCGAACCAGCTCACTTTTTTTTTTTTATTAGTTGCCTGTAGATTCACACTGCCTTTTATCATTTTCAAGAGTTGGATCGAAAATGGCCCTGTGTGACTCGTCGGGCCACACAGGCTGCTTGGGCTTGGGCCGATGCTCCAAAATGGAGCTCGGCTTGAGCTTTTTCCAAGTCAAGTCACCGACGACCCGAGCCGACAAGCCAAATTGATACCCCTCGTATCTACATTAAGGTTTCGAATTTAGCAAACCCACAAAATGTGTGACTCCTCTTCTTTGTCACGAGCCCACGTATCTAGTCCCACAATGTGTGGGAAATCTCCTTGAGTCATAAATCTCCCATTGCACAAATACAAACCTGCTACACAACTTCTGTCTTGGGAAACCCAATACCTCCGATAATTCTTCTCCGTGCAAACCACCTTTCTTTAATTGCGACCCCTTCTCCTTTGTTGGCTACTCATCCGTTGTAACATATACTTTAATTAAAGAAGTGACGATCACAATAATGTAAAATTACTATCACAATTACATGGTAATCACAAACCATAAAAGGTCATAGTCACAAAAAAACATAATTAGTTGATTAGTCTCAAATCACACATTTTTAAATGTCATA